TGGGGACTCCTTAGGTGGCGCAGGAGAAGAAAGAAGGAGAAGGGGAAGTGCTTCTGAGTTTTTAAAAACAAGGCCAGGATAACCTGGATGCCAAACTCCAACAGAATTCTAAGACAGGAGAATTGTGTGATCAACTCTCACAAGCATCTTTTTTTTTTTTTTTTTTCTAAGAAAAAAATCCCATGTGTTGTCTTGTACCCAAATCTCCAGGCGTTTGCTGGCCTCTAACTCAGATGGTCAGAACTCATGCTCACAGGGACTTCTGGGCTGAAGGTGTACAGAACGGCCGGTGGTTGCACGTGCTAACAAGATCTGTGTCCTGGTTAAGTGCCACACACCGGGAAAAGGAAGGAGTCTGGACGGTTGTGTGTGTAAACCACTGGATTCCTAGCTGCCACAGTACAGTGTTGGGTGTCATTTTAGGCTCCAGCAGGTTGCAGGGCCGGGGTGGGACCCTACCTTCTCATGGATGACTGAGATGTACCAGGGCATTCTGGTTCTCTGGGACCTCTTGACCATGGTTGGGCTGCCGGGAGGACTCGTGGTTGGGGGCTCACTCCTCTTCCGTGAGAAGCTGAGCTCGCAAGCGCTCTTGCTGATTGAAAAGAGGCGCCCTGTGGAGGAAGCAGAGGGCAGTTGAGTCTTCCCTGCAGGTGTGCTGTGGAGTCTTCCATGATAATATCCACCCTTTCAGACCTTCCCTGAGAGGCCAGGGTGGAGGAATGGGAGCCCAGGTGTCAGGACAGGAAGACATCTGCCACTGCCCATGTTGACCCCATGACCCAGCCCTCTTGCACCCCTGAGTCTCACTTTAGACTGTGGGGTTCTTCACCTTCTTAAGGCTGGAGGGAATTGTTCATGACAGGTCATTCATTGTCTGAAATCATCACGTTTATCTCACTTCCTAGCAAATGAAAGCTTATTTCTCTATTCAAAGAGGTGGTACCCAGGGGGCTGGAAGTAAAGGGCGCAGAGAAGGCAGAGCACACAGATTTCAGCTGTGGTTCAGCCAAAGACAAGGAATAATGGTAGTGTCTTCCAGGGGTGAGAGTAGAGGTCCACCGCAGCCCTGGACTGGGGTAGCCTGTGTCTCAGAGGTTTTTTTTTTGTTATTTTGCTTTTTGTTTTTTCTGTTGTTGTTGTTTTTTGAGAGGCAGGCAATCCTAGGAAGAGTTCCATAAGGGCACATCAGGCATCCCTGGGAAGCAGCTTTATTGTTCGGGGTCCCAGCCGATGAAGGCAGAGGCCTCCAGGATCTCCTTACCATCCATACTGGTGTCAGAGTCCTGCCCGACCAGGGGTTGGTCCTCAGTCATCTTCCAAGTTCCAGAGTTGTCCCTGGGCATATCGACTGTGGTGGCAGAACCTGGAATGTGCAAGGTGCCAGGAGGTGACAAGAAGTTCTCCCTGTCCCAGAATCTCTAGGGCCAAGGCTGTCAAGTTATCTTTAAACACAAGACCAGGAACAAGTGAGTCTTCCTGATGGAGGCCTGGGACTGAACCCTGGGCTCCATCAAAACACAGGCTCTGTCTTTTTACCCATGTGATCACAGTGTATCATCTGAGAAGGCTGATGGAGGTACCCGTGAGAGAATGTAGATACAGACCCTGCAGATTAGACTCTGGGACCCCCTTGGCCCACCCCCCAACCATCCCACAGTTCCCCTGGGGAGTGGAGCTGGGCTATGGCTGAACTTCACAGACAAATCCCCAAGCTGGTGTTGGGGACATGGGACAAAAGCAGGTCAGGGATCCAAGAGGTCAGGATGTAGCCTTGACTCTGAGTGTTGTAGCCCTGGCTGACCACTGAGTGCACTCTTAGGCTTCAGCAAAACAAGGAGGGGCAAGATACAAAACTTCTAGGACTCCTTGGGGTGTTTGCTCCCACTGAGGTGTCCACAGACTTAAACTTCACAGAGGCTTCTAGAAATTCCAACCCTCTCCTCTGTCACCCCGACACTGTGTTTAACAGCAAAACAGGAAGGAGCCACCTTGAGTGTGAGGAAGCTGGGCCTCTTGCTTCTCTCATTTACAGTTGGTCATCCTCCAGCCTCAGCTCAGGTCTCACAAAGACTCTGCTCCCACAGAGGATTTCAGAAACAATCACAAGCAGTGATTGTTTACAGGCTGAAGGGTTCCAGGAGGAAGCAGGTTGCTCCAGTCACCCTTGGTGGTATGAGGGGTGGTCTTACCCATATGAGATACAGATGTGGCCCTCGTAGAGAACTGGGGGCATCCAGGCCGCATGAGGAAGGCCTTTCTCATTTCTTCCATTTCAGACACAAAGCCATCAGGGTTAGTGAGTTTCTTGAGCTGGCTCTGGCAGGAGAAAAAGTGAGACCAGGTACTTGGGCTGTGCCTTCGGGATAGCTGCAGGGACCTGTCTGTGCTGTTGCTCGCAGCATCCCAGAAAGCCCTGCATTAGAGACAACTCTTGGTTGGGTTGTTAGCACCCAACTTGGAGGTCACTGAGCCTGTCACCACCATCAGTGGCGTCCATGGTGCATGGACCTTTCTATTCAGACTTCCTTTTCTTGGGTCTTTCTCTCCCTTTCACCCTCCTCTCTGACACTCAGCAATACTCTTTGCTCTGGGTTTAGAGTTGACTTCCTCCTTTGGGCTTGGCTGTCCAGACTGAGCGGGAGCCAAGGTCTGCAAGAGGGGGAGTCACTTACCTACCCCCATCCAGCTACCTCCCTGGGAAAGCCTGGGGACTCTGGAGGTCATAGGTCACTCAGGAAGTTGGGTAAGGCCAGCCAGGGCTCTGCCCCACCAGAAGCTGCAGTCCTCAGGCCTCCTGGGCTCGGTGTGGCGGATTGCCAAGAAGCATGTACCAAGATCTGCTGGTTGACAGCTCCCATGGTACTTTGGCAAAGGAAAGGAGTGGCTAGCTCCATGGTGGCTGCACTGGGAATGTAGAGGTACTCCACCCAACCCCGTACCACTTTGCTGTTGTAGTGGTTGATGGCCTGGGCCGACTTGCTGGATCTGTGTTGGTCTTCTAGCTGCTTGTTCTCTACGCCATGGGAGCGCCGGCTGGAAACACTCTGAAGCAGCGCCAGGCCCTTGCTGATCTGGGGGGTTGGCAAGCTGAGTTCCTCGGGGAAGTTTTCCTTCTTCATTGGGAAGACAGAGACAGAGACAGACGGTCACCCTGAATGACCATGCAGGTCTATTGCTCCTGTGCACAGCACTGGTTATGGAGGGAAAGTCAATCTTGGCTTGAACCTTCATAGGTGTCCAAGCCAGAAAAGACAAGCCTTCCAATGCTCCTGTCCTACAGACTCCTGGGAGCAGTGTGTGTCATCACAGATGTCACCATAGAAACAGGGCATGGTCATAGTCTCCTCAATTTTCTGCAATTAGGTAAAAGAAGCTGGGAAGCAGACCCAAACACTGTTCCCACCAGACCTTGGGCTGTCAGGGAGTAAGAGAAGTAGTCTGACCCCCAGAGGCCTGGACTTCTCCTCTCATTTTTGTTGGGAGCAGGAGTAGTAATTTTCTTTTATTTTGTTGGCATGTATTCACTGTGCACACTGACAACATTCACTCCAGGGTATCGCATACTTCAACCACATTGTGAGAAACAGCTACCCTCCTCCATAATAAAAGCACTGGAGACTCGGAGTAGTGGAATCAACACGCCTATTTTACCAACTTGCAAAGATGAGCAATCAGCCTAGACAGACATGACCCTTCCTCCCTTTTCGAATAATGGGGCGGGGTGGGGGGGAATCATACAGGCCATCTACTCTTCTCAAGGTCTGCTCATTTATTTGTTCCTCTTAAGGCTTATCTGTACCAGGCCCAAAGCTCTCCGCAAGCCTGCTTCTCCTGGCATTCTGTTTCTGACCATTTTCTTTGTCTTCCTCCATCCTCTTGACCAAAAAGTTGAGCATATTCTGCAGCCTCCTCTTGTTTTTCCTAGTGTTGTTCCTTCAGAGCGATACATTGGGAGTTCGAGCTGCAGGACAAGTGGAGTAACAAGAGGCTGAATCTTGAGTGCATCGGTCCTGGGCTTCTCGGCTCCTTTGATTAAGCGCTTTCGGACAACATATTGGCAGACATCATCGTCTTTAGAAAGACTGAAGAGCTTTCGGGTTCTGCCAGCTATTTTAGTTTCCAGCTGACGAGGCACAGTGTTGTCTGTCCAGGAACTTCCTTCTCCCCCCTCTATTTTTTTTTTAACAATAACCAAGTTGAGAACACTCAGTGGCACCCACAAGGTATCCAGGGACAGACTTGCCCTTCCTTCCTTCCTTTCTCCAGCTCTCTTTGGTCTATAACAAGAATGCCCCCCATTCAGCTGCAGGTGCGCTCTGCCATGGGACGAAATGCCTTGCTTCATGGGAAAACCTTGTTTGCCATTCCCGCCACTGATTCAAGTCCACAACCCTTCACTCTTCACCCGGAGCACCCACAGCTACTTCTCACAGAACACACGAAGCTTGGTTTCATCGCCCACTGCAGTGAGTTTCTGACAGTTGGTGGCAGGGGAGGAGATATTCAGTAAATGCCTAGGTGTCATGAAAAAGAGGCCTGACTTGCTCTTAGGCCAGGTCGCCCTCTGCCACTTTCATTGTCTTCTCTTCAACCAAACCTGGGCACGTGTTCATCATACAGCCTGTGTATGGTAATGCAAGAAAGCTTGGTTGTGAGTAATTTTCTACTCTAAACTTGTAGTCTAGATGTAGCCGAGCAATTTGCAGGGGGCAGTAGTTGAACTAGCAGGAATTAGCAGGAGTCTGGGAGTTTTGACCATTTGTAGCTGGACCAAACCTGACTTAAGGAGCCTTTGAAAATGAACTGTCAGAATGGGGAGCCTGCATAAGACCGAACTAGACGCCCTTAATATAGGGGACAATGGTGTGACTGGGACAATATATGAGGCCACTGGCAGTGGGTCCAAGATCTAACTCTAGCACACAAACTGACTTAGTGGAACTCATTCTGTATAGAGAGACACCTTGCCCAGCCCAGACACAGGGCTGTGGGGTGGACAGGCGCCTTGGTCCTGCCTCAAGGAGATGATGGGACAGACTTAGTAGACTTCCTAGGGGAGGCCTTATCCTCTCTGTGGAGCAGATGGGAGGTTGGAGGGGAGGAGGAGGAGGAGTGGGAAGAGAGGAGGGAGAGGGAACTGGGATTGGAATGTAAAAATAAATTAATAAAAAAAGAAAATGAACTGTCAGATTTTTTTCTTTTTCTTTTTAAAAATGTGTGTGAGTGTTTTGCCTATGTATATGTTTGTGCATATACATCATGCCTGATACCCATGGAGGTCAGGAGAGAGTGTCAGATCCTCTGAAGTTGGAGTTACAGGTAGTGATGAGCTTCCATGTGAGTGCTGGGAATCGAACCTGGGTCCTCTGCAAGAGCAGTCAGTACTCTGAACCTCTGAGCCATTTCTCCATTCCCCAGATTTTATTTCTAACGGTTTTCAGCCTCGTGCGCTCACTTTCCTCCCTCTTCCCTCTGGCAAGCCTCCTCCTTTACACAGACAACCTCTCTCTTCATGTGTGATGGGGGAACAAGTGCTCTTTGGCTTCTGAGGGCAATGGCCAATCTGGGCTGTCTGGATTGACTAGAATCAGAATCAACTAAACCCCGAACAGCAAGGCACACCTGTTAGGGGTTTCCTGTCTTGGCTACTTTGAGGTAGGAAGAGCCATCCTAACCCTGGGCCACACCTCTGATGGCAACCCCCATGAAAGCACATGAAAGGAGGAAAATCTGGCTTTCTGCCTGGTTGCCCTCACTCTCACTGGCAAGTCCATGCATCCTGTGGCTAAGGCATCCCTTTGCTGGTGTTAGAACTCACTTCTTCAGTGGGTTTCCAACATTACCTGAGACCAACAGCCCTCTAGGACTCTTCCAGGACTCCTGCACCAGACTGGGGCTGCTAAGACATCATCCAGCCTCATGGACTGAACAACTTCTGGAACCTTGGCCTTTCTGTGGGAAGACAGCCATTGTTGGACTATCTGGGCCACAGCCTGTAAGCCACTCTTATGAATCGTATGTACACACACACACACACACACACACACACACACACATACACACACACACGGCTGCACCTGAAACCACACCCAAAGGGTATGGCCACTACCACAAGTTCACTGGCAAGGCACTGATCCCTTATCGAATATGATATATTTGGCAGGATCCCTCATCATGTATGCTTTCTGACACTGAGTCCTCAGATATGTTTCTACACCCTGGTCTCTAACCAGATAAATGTGATTTTTGCACACTGAGACCTTATCAGTGACCTGGAATTAATTATGTTACATTATGAGGAAGACCACCCAGTGTCTCTCTCTGAATTATCCCACAAACTGAAGAAAATCCAATCCTGATCACCAGTTTCTCCCCCATTTCCTCCTCATTTACTATCAATCTCAGTGTTTGGGCTCCAATCCCAGGTTGGAGTCGGCCTCCTGTCCCACCTGCCGCCTTCCCAGGTGTCAGGTTCAGCCGTTTGTGTGTAAGGTCCTCTTGAAGGTGACTGACATCACTGTCAGTGCCTCTGAGACTGGAGCACAGGAGCTCATGCTGCCTGGCACCATGACTGTCAGTGAGCAGAGGCAGGAATTGAATGTGTTGTTCAGATGGCTGGCAGTCGGGGAGAACAGCAGGCTAACACCCCCGAAAGCCATCTTGTCCGCTCTGTCTCAAAGTGGCTGTTTTATAGAAATTAAAACAAGGACAGCTGGTCATGGGAGCTCAAGGTTGTCCCTGTCCCTTTGGTGAGATGGCTGCCAATCTGGCGGACTTTGTGATGTGTCTCCCTTGCTGTCACCATACTGGACATCTGGCAGTATTGGCTGTACTTCTCCAGACACCACCTGGGCTGAAGGGTTAACTCAGAACACACAGGCCATCCCAGCATGCACATGACGGTTCCTTCCTGCAGGATGTGTATGAGGGTTCTCTAGAGGAACAGAACTGATAATCCCAGCACTTAGAACAACTGAGGCAGGAGGATTGCCTCAAGTTGGAATCTACCCTGGACTACGAAGCAGTTCTGGGCCAGCCTTGGCTATGGAGTGAGACTCTGGCAAAATAAAATAAAATAAAATAAAATAAAAACAAAGCCAATAGCAGGGGGCTGTGGAGATAGCTCAGTGAGTTATAGGTTTGTCTTACAAGCATGAGGTCCTGGATTTGTTCCCCCAGAACCCACTTTTTTCAAAAAGTCAAATGTGTATGCAACACATCGTAGTCCCAGGTGGAGACAGGTGGACCCCAGGAGCTCAAAAGCCAGCCAGCCTACCTAGCAAGTTCTCCACACATGTGCACACACACACACACACACACACACACACACACACACACATTAACAACAAACCCCAGCGCATTCATTGATAATATGTCTGTTTTACATCTTGGGCCCTGAAGTCTATCACATTAGTCATGTCTGCAGTTTCACTGTTACTGGAGTTTCCTTCCAGCCTGGTCCTGCTGCTTCAGCCCCCAAATAAGCACACAAAGACTTATATTAATTATAAAACTGTTGGCCACCCGGGTGTTGGTGGTGCACGCATTTAATCCCAGCACTCGGGAGACAGAGACAGGCGGATCTCTGTGAGTTCGAGGCCAGTCTGGTCTCCAGAGCGAGTGCCAGGATAGGCTCCAAAGCTACACAGAGAAACCCTGTCTTGGAAAAACAAACAAACAAACAAACAAACAAACAAAAACTATTGGCCGATGACTAGGGCTTCTTATTGGCTAGTTCTGTTTTAATTATTAACTCATAACTACTAATCTATGTGTTTCTGCATGGCTTTATCTTACCAGACAACGCCTGGCATGTCCTACTTCCTGGTCCCTACATGGTGCAGCCCCCCACCCGCCCCTGCAGCACCTCTCTGCCTACCTTTCCCAGAATTCTCCTCGTTTCCTCGTCCCACCTATCTCCCTGCCTCTATTGGCCAAACCGTGTTTTAATCATCAATCCATAAGAGAAACAGATATACAGATGGATGACCCCCATCAAGAAACAAAAAGTACTTAGTTATAGTCCAAGCAGCTAGATATTGGAAATGTGATTCTATTAAGACTCACTCACTGAGTAAAAATTGATGATGGTTAATTATTGACATGCTTAAAACTGTTT